GAAAATGCCAGAAGAAACAGCTAGAAGACTCAAAAGCAGCTGCCTCTGGGAAAGAGGACACAGCGGGTGGGGGAGATAAAAGAATGAATGTTTTCATCACAACTCCGGTAAAAACGTCTGACTTTAAACGTTTGGGGTAAATACTCCGATAAAATTTTAAAACCATGTAGAACCACATTACCTCATTGCTGGGTCCAGCAACTGAAGACGCTAAAGATTCTTCCAGGTCTTCTGCCAATATGGACGCATTTTCCCGAGAAGTGATAGACACTAGCCCACTGTTTCTCGAGAAGAGGACGGGAAGACCGCCACACGAGCCAGCTCCCAAGATACTGTCTCCTAAAAGAGAGAAGGACGCAGGGCCACTTACACAGAGCAGACGACGCTCCTGACACCCGCCGGCCTTTGGGAAATCCTTCCTCCCCTCCTCCCCGCGCACGTCACTCCTGCTTTGAACTCGGCTGTTTAATCCCGCAGCAAAGGTCAAGGACCCGCTGTGAATGCAGCAGCAGGCCGTGTCCTTCGGCTCCAGGACAGAACGAACTAGCCTCGCAAGACAGCAAGGAGAGTAATAAGCAGAAGGTAAAATTCTGCCAAATTCAGACCGCTTTCTCCATCTATGGAGTCCTCTTGCCCACTTCCGTCCTCACCGGCCAAGTAAGCCAAAGAGTGAGCCAACGGGGAAAGACATCTGAGCTTGCCCACTGCCTGGGTGCCACTGTGCCCGCCCAGTCAAGGCTCCTGGGCTGGGACCAGAATCCCAGGTTCCCTCCTTGAGCCTCACCTGGACTCTGCCCTCTGCCGCCCCCTTCAGGTCAGCATCCTGATGAAACCATCTGCCTGGCTCTATGAGACTCCTAGACGGCTCTCCCCTCCCCTCCCCTCCCCTCCCCTGCCCTCTGTCCCCTGCCCTCTGTCCCCTGCCCGCTGCCCGCTGTAGCACTCAAGTCCAGCACCCGAGCTGCTTCTTACTCAGGGGTCTGGACACACTTAAAGAACTGAGACCACGTCACTCTTACTAATAGGAATAAGTTACTTCTTAGCGTCGGTCCTTTCGTCCCCTGCCCGCTGCCCGCTGCAGCACTCAAGTCCAGCACCCGAGCTGCTTCTTACTTAGGGGTCTGGACACATTTAAAGAACTGAGACCACGTCACTCTTACTAATAGGAATAAGCAAGTTACTTCTTAGCGTCGGTCCTTTCCTTCAAGGCCTCTGCAGGGGAAAACATTACTCTTTTTGCCCATACACATAACGGTTTGAGAATTCCACCACCCTTCTGGTTTTTCAGCGAGGCTACCACTTCGGCTCCTACAGGTGTGGTCTGCAATGTCTCAGTGACACCTACAGGTACCACGCCTGAAGCCACACTTATTGGGGAAAGAACAGAAGCTCCTCAGAATGACGACTGAGGTCACCGATCTGCTTTCTGAAATGCCGCTGTACCTTGCGCATCAAAGACAATCTTCTCCTGAGGCAGAGAAAACTTCCCGGTCCCCGTGGAGCACACGTAGACGGCACTTTCAGTGTACAGGTAGGCGGTCTGCGACGAAAAGCTGGGGACCATCAGCCGACACGCGATCAAGTCTTCCGACTGACAACGAAACGCCAGATGACACGGAGTGAGAACTCAGGCCGCCTGTGTTTATGGTTTTGTAATTCCCGTTTTTGTACAATACTACGTCACGGAAACGACAAAACGATTCGGACTGTCCTTGCGAAAACACCTGTGACGTGACTTACAAAATGTGGCAGAATAAGTCTGTAAACATCATTTAGAATAATTCATGTTGAGCAACAAATGATTAGCAAATTTTGAAGACATTTCCATGGCGATAAGATTATAACTAAAAACCTATCGACAAATGTGTAATAGGAAATATAAGATTTAATTCATCATGTTATTTATTTTAAAATTGGTAAACGCTTTCTAAAATGCTCCCTGATAAACATTTTGGTTCTTACTTCACTGTCACGATATCAAGCACAAGAAAACTGAGTTACTTTGCTCCTACGTAAAATCAGAAGCAGAAATAGAAATGAGACCTGATTACGGCTGACCCTTGAACAACACGGGTTTGAACTGCGTGAGTCGACTTACACGTGGATTTTTTAAAATAAATATTTTGGAAAATTCTCGGAAATTTCCTTTCCTTACTACTATGAAGCAATCCTACCGATTACACTAGTCTGCCATACAGAAATCACACTGCTGCTTCTTCGTTATCAATGCAGAAACTGCCATACCTGTAAATGCTTCTTTTTCGAATTATCTTTTCGTTTTTGCTGTCTAGTGTTAGTAACACGTACACCTGCAGGTTTTGTGTCACATCAGATGATATCGATGCAGGTGCTGACAAAGACAGTTCATCATACGAAACGATGACAAGTTCACAGCATTGGGAACTGCAGTGCGGTACTGGCAGCACATTTTCTCCTGTGATTTCCTTAGTAACGTTTTCTTTCCTGACGCTTACGTTATCGTAAGCACACAGCACGTGACACACGAATGTGCGTGCATCAGCTGCTTACGCTGTTGGCAGGGCCCCCCGTCAATGGCAGGCAACTACAGTTAAGTGTTTGGAAAGTCAAAACTGTGCAAGAGCTTTCGAACATGTGGGGGTGCATGCCTGAATCCCCACACTGTTCAAAGCTAACTGTAAAATGAAACCAGCAAGTGTTAAAAATGATAGTTTGTTATTAAAGAAGTAATTTTACCAAAAAAAAAAAAATTTAAAAGTAGGATCTGTTATTTTTTAATTTTCAAACTGTAGTCTTTATGCCAGTTTGCATCGTCTAAAAATTTTAACACTGAGCATTTTTTCTTGCATAATCAGGTTTTTCCTCATGAACATCATAGTTACTGATTCATTCATTCGTTCATTCATTCATTCATTTATAGGCGAGGCGACCCCTGGTTGACCTCACAGACTGCAAGGACCTTGTCAGCTTATAATCTCGTATTTTTTATTTTTTATGCCTACGGCACCCGGTATTCCCAGGCAGTCACCCATCCAAGTACTAACCAGGCCCGACCCTGCTTAGCTTCCGAGATCAGACGAGATCGGGCTTGTTCAGGGTGGCATGACTGTAGACACATCATAGTTATTAAGCTGATGAGTATAGAATGCCTTCAAATATAACCCTACTCTGAGCAGGAAGAACATTTTCCTGTAATTTGTAGGGCTCAAAATCGAACCCCAATTCCTATCAGGTTTCTTCCCTATTTTTCACTCTGCAGCTCATCAGCATTTTCTCTCTGCTCAACAACACAGAAATAACAACCCCTTCCCAGACCTGGAGGACACACGAGCTGCTTCGACGCTCAGCTCTGTTCAGCTGAGGCTGAGCAAAGGACCAAGTCTGCGATGGCAAATAAACACAATGTCTAAAAGGCGGCTATTTTAAAACGTCCCCAAGCCCCACAGATGCATCTCTCAAAGATTCTGACCCTGCAACCGTGAGGGAGCGAGAACACAGTACGTTATGGTCGCTTTGTGATCTAACTTACAGACACGAATCTTACCTGGAAAGGTGGGTTATACTGAGTGACTTCGACCGTCACCGCATCTGGCATTTGGGGGCCGTCATCTCCTATTGTTACCAGAGAGTAGTAGACGAGACACGGGTTGTCTGCAGGGTGCCATGCTGCCGCCAGGACCAGGAGCCCGTCGCTAGTCAAAGCAAAAGACAGACCTGTAGTCTCCTCGGAAAACAGCCCGGCGGCTTCTCACGCAGTCGGACACCCTCGCCGTGGGGCCCAGCGGTCCCGCTCCGGGCCTGACCTACCCCAGAGCGGGTGAAAATGACGTGCGCACCTTCCCGCGTGCGATGCGTACAGCGGCTTCAGTGGCAGCTGCCTAAACGCACAGAGCACGCGGCTCCGTAGCTCTACGAGACGGACTCAGTGGTAGCAGAGAGCGGAGCATGAAACGCGCCACGCGACGGGAGGGGGCCGGTCTCGGAAGAACTGTGTGGCTGTCACGTGGCCTAAGAAAGGCAAAGCCACGGGACAGAAAACACACACTGGCTGCAGGGCTGGACGCGTTGGGAGGTGAGGGACGCGGGGGCGGACGGCTGCTGCGTGTCTTGACCGCGGTTACGGTTAGACTGTGCATCTGTCAAACCCACAGACGTGACTCTGCGGGGTGGCGACAGTCCTGCGAAGGCGTTTCCTCTTCCTTATAACTGAACTTTACTGCACGTAAAAGGTAACTCAGTAAACCTGAGTCCAGACACCCCCAGGTACAGCCCGCAGGCCGACCCGCGCCCAGGGCAGTCTGCCAACGCAGCTCCGGCGCGAGGCCTGCAGCCACCGCCTGGGGACTGGCCGGCCGCCCACCCTGTACTGGTGGGCAGCGTGGTGCAGCAACGGCCACGTGGCCCCCAGAGCCTAAGGCAGCTAGTTTGGGGTCCCTCATGGAAAAGGCTGCCGATGCCTGCTCTGATCTGCTCTTTAAAGCTCACTTCCGTCCAGATGAAAAACACTTTGTGGTCATTTTAACAGCCAGGTGCAGACATTTTAAGCTGCGGTCGATGTGAAAACAAACCTCTTTCCATTTTAAAGCTACACGTTCCCCTTGTCTATCAAGGCTGCGCCCCACAAAGAACCAAATGGTCTCTAAGCTCGGCCCTTCCGAAACATTTAGCATCATTAGCAACTTTCATTCAAGTCTCAAAAACAGTAACGGCCAGTGCCTCCCACTGACAACTGAAAATAAGAAGCCAAGCGTCTTGGGACTACAAGTCCCAAGCCGGGGGCTACACTGCAGCCATTTCGAATCCGGCAACGCTGACAGGGCACCCGCCCTCCACTGTGCCCGGGCCCAGCTCCCAACGCCGTCACTTTCGCTTGGATTCTTGAAAGGAATTCAAGGGTACTGGCCCAAATCAGCGACACACTGGCAGTGACCTCAGGAGGTCCTAGGTGACATAGAAGAACGTCAGACATAAGAAGGAACGGAGGGAGGCCCCAGAGAACGCGGTCTTGAGAGCCAAGGCGGTCACCCTGTGGCGAGCCTAGACCCTGAGGGCCGTCTGCAGACCGTGTCGCCGTTGCCGTGAGACAGAGGTGCCTGCGGGGACGTGGACGCACGCACACCTGACCAGTAGGGGTCCTTGGGGCGTGGTGCCGGGACCACATTTGACATCCTTATTAAAAAAATCTTCATATTTGAAAAAACATGAAACTGTTGTGGGTGCTAAAGACGGGAAGACAATCACAATCCGGCAAACCTGTATCAATCTGACAAATTTTTGTGTGACTAGATAAGGTAACACATTCAAGGTTTAAAACTCCCAGCCCTACAGCCAAGATGGCACTCTCGGCTTTGTGTCAGGAATGACCTAGGAGGAGAGCCGCCGAGCCCCAAGCCTCCGTGAGCAGTGGGAAGACGGACACCAGCCGTACATGGAAGAGACCCTCCGCACAGGCCACTGGGCCTGGAGGACGAGACTGGTGACTGGACAATGCGGAGCCGAGGGTCAGGAAGGACCACGGTGTCCCATAGGCCTCTCAGGCCCTGCTGGCATGACGCTGCCGGGGCAGGGGCCGGGGCTGACCCAGCACAGCGTCCCTGAGCGTGCGCCCCTCCTCCGTCCTGAACACTGCCTGTGACTGAGTGTCCACGCCACATGTCCACAGGGGGCTGTGTCCTGGCCGCAGTTCTAAACCTCTGGAAGTCCGGAAAAAAATCAGTGCAAATAGGCAAACTGTTGAATTAAACGGCTCGTGGAAAACAAACGCGTCCTATCGTTCTCACGTGTGGTGGCCTGTAAAACTTTCAGAAACTATAAAGGTCCCTGCCGGGTCTCCATGGTCCGAGAAGGAAAACGACACAGTGGAATGCAAAGCCCTCCGAGGAGCAAGCGGGACTGTCCCCTACCCTAGGCCACTCCGGACACGTGCGAGTCGCCCTGGACTTTGGTCAAGCTGGGCTCTGAAGGATGACGAGTCGCACGTCTATCTGCACTCGTTACGACTTCCTCCCAGAAAACCCATTATAGGTGGCTTTTAAGCTCCGTGTCGCCTCTGGTATCAGAGCTAAGTAACTCACTTATGTGCCCGGACAGAAGCCTGCCCCCTCCCTTCATGCGACAGAGCCACCGACAGGGCCACCAACAGGGCCCTCCCAGACTGAGGGGAGGGGGACGGCCGCGGGGGGCGTGGCTCAGAGGTGGAAAGGGAAGCGACAGCTGTGACAGCAGGAAAGACGTGTCCGGGACCGGGGCAGACAGCGTGAGAACGCGGCCGAGGGCTGGGACCGCCGCGGGCCCGGGGGAGTGAGCCCGCACACAGAGGACGCAGCTCCACGTGGCGACAGTCTGGCGCACTCGGCCCGGGGGCCGAGCATCAGACGCACTCAGGGCAGGACGGCTGTCATGTCAGCGAACGTCGTCCCCGCCCAGATCCGCGCCGCCCGCTTCGTGACGGAGGGCCGCTCACCAGCTCCGCTTCAGATCCAGGTACCGGACGCGCACGCCCTCCTTGACGGCCTCGTAGTTGCTTTCAGAGCCCTGGACGGAACCACAGCGACACAGCCCCTGAGTGCAGGGCCCTCTGCGCCTCTGTGTCCCCAGCACCTACTCCAGCGGCTGAGCCGACAACTTTCAGCATTTTAAAAATCAGCAAATCTGGAGGCCCACTGGCATGGAGACCGAACTCCCCGTTTGTTTATCTGACCGCTGCACCCGGGTTTGCGCGTGGCACTGAGACAGGGCCGCACGGCCCCCTCACCCAGACGGCGTCGGCGACGCTCTCCTTCAGGACCCTGTTCACGTCCCAGCTGAGCGCCAGCCTCCCCGAGGATTCGTCCAGCTCCCACTTGCTGACGTTCGAGCTCGTCAGGCTGTAAAAGCTCGACCTCTCTCGATCCCAAAGGACGCCTGAAAGCTGCACGGAGAGAGAACAGCCAAGTTTGCGGGCTGAGCTCCGACCTAAGTGAATTGTTTTTCTGAAATTCACGTTTCACGTTTGGACTATTCGATCAGGAATCCGAGCAGAAATCTGCGTTTCGGACTCAAAGGAGGGGCGCTCCTGCAGCGGACCACGAGGGCGAGGCAGCGCTTCGCGGGCACAGGCAGAAAGGCAGAGCGGGGGGCGGGAGGGTTCGGGGTCCCCAGAGACCGGCAGCCCCGTAACCTGCCATGCGGACCACAGCTAGAGGAGCGAAATAAGGTTCAAATGAGAAGTCGGACACACAGCAGCCGATAGTGAGTCGTAAACCCAGCGAGCGAGGGAGGTGTGACCCGTGGCTCTGAACGCGAGAGCCGTGCGCAGCGAAGCGGCTCTGCGGGGGCGTCGCCCGTGGTGTGGCTTCGCTCTGAGTACGTACTGGCTTGTGTTCTTTTAAGCTGGGCACACGTGACTGTTCTGAGTTAAAACCCTGACTGCCTCTAATTCTCCTGCACTGTCTCTGGGCACGGACGGGGCAGAGGGGGACCAGTGAGGAAGTGGGACCGGCACCGAGAGCTGGGGGAGGAGCCACGTGTGGACGATGGGAGCGGAAGGATGGGGTGGAAATGGGATCTCGTACATGCCTAATCTGCTGCTGAAGGAGAGACACCTCCACACCCCAAATCCAGGTTCGGGACCTGGTCCCTGAAAGAAGTGGCAGTGCCATTAACAGAGACAGGTCAAAAGGGCAGCGAGTTTTCTGGGTTAAGAGTCGTCATCCAGAGGGGAGAGGGGATGTGAGCCATCTGCCTCCAGACACGTTCAGTGTCGGGTTCCAGACCGTTCAAGGAAGCAGCCACCGCCCCCTGGAGCTGCCACTGCCACGCGGTGTGTGAGGGGCTCACGTGAAAACGTTTCACTCAAGAGACCACGGGTTTGGCCTCGTATCCACCCCGCTCACAACCGGCCCCCCGGGAAACCGCGCCTCGATGTCACCACGGAACAAGCTTGGATGCGAAGGCACCTCGCTGACTTACCGTGAGATCACTGCTAGGCGACAAGATTCCCAAAAGAGAGGAGACCTTCCGGCCGAGCCCCGAGAGCACGCCCTGGCCCTGCGGCAGCACGTGCTGGTGGAGCCTGCCCGAGCCGTCAGGCGTCAGCCGGACCAGCTGGCCTCCCGCGGAGGACAAGACGAAGCTGCCTCCCTGCAACAGAGGCCGTGAAGCCAGCTCAGTCAGGCGTCGAAGATGAGGGACAGAAACACGAAACACCTCGCCGCAGAGGAAAATCGCCTGTCCCTGAAACAAACCTCAGCTAGAAAGGGACAGTGTTACTGCATTCGACTAGTCGACCTGAACCCGCCCGCTTCCGGCCGTTCACTCCGCGCAGGGAAGCTGATGCTGCGCTGTTCTTTTCTAGCTGTGCGTTTTCAAATTCTGATTTTTAAATTACAGATTCACCTTATTGCACATTCAGCCAATCAAGCATCAGGTTTCATCTCTTCGGTAAACCTGCAGAGTATACGTCAACGAACTGTCCTTCATAGCGTCTAAGGGTTTTTAAGTCACTCTCGTAAAACGTTCCTGAGAAAAGTGACCACCACGAGCTACGAGCCAGCATCGACCTTTCAGAGCCCACGAGAAGGGCTCCCGTTTTCCTGCTGCTGCCATCACAGATCCCGCACTCTCTCTGCCCCGCCCCCCGGCCCGTGTGGCTCAGACCCTGCGCTTCCCGCCATCCCTGTCCCGCCATCCCCGCGTCCCGCCATCCCCGCGTCCCGCCATCCCCGCGTCCCGCCATCCGAGCCCACCTCCAGGTGGCGTCACAGCTGCCCAGCATGCAGAGGACGCCGTCATACCTGCACTGCGGTCAGGAACCGGTAGGCCTTGTCGCCGCCCGCGCCCACGGTGGCCTCGGTGAAGGTGCCCTCTGCGGCCAGGCTTGGCCAGTAGCGGAGGACGCCTTCCGTAGTGGCGGCCAACACAGCAACAGCCTCAAAAAAAGACACGACACTCGGCAACCACAGCGACAAAAGGACCCCTCTACCTGGGAGTCTGAGGCAACTGATATGAAGAAACCAGTTTCAAATCTGATTTACTGTTTATATCTTGTCTCTCCGTTTTTTTACCGGTGCCTTTGGCAGAGCAAGTTTTTAATTTTGATGGAGTTCAGACTACCCATTTTTCTCTTTTCTGAATCTTGCTACAGGTGACTTCTAAGAACTCCTCTAACCCCAGATCACGATAATTTTCTATTTTCTTCTAAAAGTTTCATAGTTTACATTTTACACTTAGGTCTACGACATATTTTGAGTCAATCTTTGTCTAAGGTGTGAGGTTTGCGGGGGACTGTTTTTACATAAAGATGACCAATGGTTCCAACACCATTTACGAAAAAGACCACGTCAGTCCGATGCCTTCGCGGCTGGCAGGGCAAAGAGCCCCTGTGCAGGTCGCTGGCCGCACCTGTGCTCCGCTCCGCTCCCCCGCCCGACGTGGGGGTCCCTGCCAACGCCAGTGTCTTAAGTCCTGTAGCTCCACAGCTATGTTTCAGAATTAGGTCAGACAATTCCTGCAACTTCAGAGCTCCCTTAGTTAAAAAAAAACTTCAATAAGCGTTTAAGTCACCTACCTGAGTAGAATGAGTGTCACCAGAGGTAGCAGAGTAAGACAGCGCCACCAAGTCAGCACCCCAGTGGAAGTCGCTGGGTGGCAGCTGAAGTTCTTTGCACACAGAGAGCTGCGGAACAGACCCAAACAGAAAACCTTCACGTCGGATCCAATTCTGAATACGTGTGACTGCGCTCTTCCCTTTCTCTGCATGTTTTACATTCTGATTCGTTGCTGGAAATACCATTCCACGAATAGTCTTTCGTCTTACATTTGTTTAATCAGGCTTTCGGTAATTTTAAAACAAAATTTAAGAGATAAAAAATCAGAAAAACTTAAGAGCCAGAATGGATCCTGAATGTCAACTAGCCCAACCTCTTCCGGGACTGAAGAGTCCACTGGCCACGGACGTGTGTAGGCTCCCTGTGGCACCCCGTCTACTCTGACCTGTTTACTTGATCAATGAAATCGGCGTGACTACAGAGTAAGTACACGAACTGCCTAGAAAGTACCTCTGAGACGCAGCCAAATATCAGGCTCCCTCTGCTAATTCCGCATGCCCTTATAACTACGCTTATAACTACAGTACCACTGTCTAGACAGCAAGACAGAGGGCAAGGGATAGAAGCTGAGGCGAGCAGCCCCCAGCCCCAGTGGAGCAGAGCCCGGTGAGTACTGAGTGGGGCCACAGTACGCATGAGCTGGGACCAGACAGACAAAGAGGCTGCCGGGGACAAGGTACTAGACCTACAAGTGACAACCTCCAGGTGAGAAATAGACAACTGAAAGTGCAACCAGCAATTACAAAAACTGGTGTCGTTTTTCTCCTCTTTTATGAAGCATCATTCAGTAGATTCGGTGACACACAGTCCTACTTTCTTAGAAACAAACGAACTCAGTTCATGAGCTTATACAGATGGCATTTAGACTTAGTTTTCTTTGTGCAGACTGATTACATGACATTCGTTAAAAATTTCAATGTCTCTATTTTACTGAATGTGAATAACGTGGACCTTGTTTAAAATCATCAAAAAGGAGACACTTTCTTCCCAGTACACAAGTGTGCATGCTCGTTCAGTATTTCGCGTCACGACAGAGATGCGAATCCATAATGCTTACATAGGTTCAGGCTGCTACTCGCCCACAACTCTAAAATTCAGGGCAAAAAGTAGGCGCCACTGGGTTCCCCTCTTCTGCCTCCTCTGTCTCTCCAAAGAGCCATTACCTTGGTAACAGGCGACAGAGCAATCTTCCAGATAATGAGTTTCTCTCTGCAGACCAGACAAGCCCATCCACCTTCATCGATGTGAACTGTCAGCTGATCGTCATCTGAAGAGAACAATGAGGTACAGGGTGAATCTTAAAGCATGAATAGGAGCGACTGACAGAATTTCCATATATCAAAATCTTTACTGCCACATCTGTCATCGAAATAATTGCCACTCACGAAAAAAGATTAATTAACAGAAAATACTTTTGAATAATTCAAGGGTTATCAATATCCAAAACATGAAATTTATCTTTGATGACCACTTTTAAAAATATATCTAAAGTATATGTTGGGCCTAGGTTCAATATTTCTTCATATTTGTTATATAAACAGATAGATTACTTTCTGTAATGACATTCACAATTTCATTTCGATAAAGGAACACAAATAACACTCCCTAAATATATAAAACGTTTCCAGGAAAAGTCACGTTCCTTCAAAAGAACACAATTTTCAAATAAGAAGTCTTTGAAAGTATGATAAATTCTTCATGATATGGAGATATAAAAAATGACAGTCCATATCATGTGACAAAACTAAACGAGCATAGTGCTCTCTTAAGCATTGAACGTAAACCTCCAAAAACATGTTAACGTTCTGGAAATTTAATCGACTGAACCTTTGCTCTTTGCTTAAACACAGGGCAGAGGAGCAAAATAAAAGACACGCATAACATACAGGCCAGAACACCAAATCGTGCCGGCCGAGCGCGGGCTCTTTGTTGAGGTGAAATGCCCGCTCGGGCTTGTTTTTTCCTGAAAGCTCCAGACCCTCCACTGGGCACCCGAGGACCCGGAGTCCACGCTCGGCCCTCGGCAGGCTGCTGTGGGGGGCGGGGCTCAGGTCCACACAGGGCTTCAGTCTACACGCCCTGACCTCTAGGGACAATCCCCCAGGGCTGGCACCGTTTGTTACGACGCCGTCTAGAGCCGTGGACCAGAGCATACTGAAAGGTTTTAACGAGTAATCTACACTAGGCAAAGTTTTAGAGGGGAAGAGAAGAGTACATATGGGTTATATATATTTAAACAGAAACAACACGTGGCAGAGGTTAGCGAAGACAGCTGCACCTGCAGCTCCCAAGGACTGAGGCAAGATGTGTGAGATCAAGGTGAGAAATAATCCTTCCTCTGGAAAGGAGCGCTTCATTTTTTTGACTGTTATTCACAGTATGAAATACATTTTACATCGTGATGCGCTCGTGCACACTTTAAGCAAAACGAAAGTTGTTTAACATTATATGAGACGCACTCTGATGTTCCGCATTCATTTCATTTTTTAAAAAATGCTGGTTATAAATCACTACCTGCGGTTTGAAAAACAACGTTCTAGAAAATCGCAAAGATCTAGATTTGAATCCTTAATTAAAATGACTTAGGCAGATCACTGAGGATACTCTAAACTCTGACCTTCCAGTTGCCCAGCCCCTCACCCTGAAGGCAGCCATTCTGAAACTTGGGTTGACATCTTCCAAACTCCCGTTCTAACTCTCTGCCAACGGAATCTTCTAAAGGTCCCCCCCATAACACCGTGGGTTTGTGCACAGAGCCTCTGGGGTACTACACAGGATCCAGAGGTGGAGCTAAGACTCGATTTTACTGAATTAGTAAACCCAATCATGTCAGGCACTAGTTTTGGTGTGTTTTTTTTTGTTTTTGTTTTTTTTTTAAGCTAAACTTCATACACTCGGTTAACTTTTGCAACTTGACTGAGTTTTGCACATGTGGTAGTTACAAACTAATATTAAAGATTTAATTTGTGCTGGAATGAACTCATTCTGCTTTATAAATGTATATTTCTCAAATACGGTGAAAAACCACATAGCTTATCTCTTCCTCCCCATTTAGGTGAAGTATATCAGAGAGAACACAAATGTCAACCACCGCGCTAGACTCAGGCTTCATCGGAATTGCCAGCAGAGGCCAATGGAAAATGATACCCACCTTCAGCCAGCGTCAGGGCTTCCATGACCTTCACAGGAAGAGAAGATCCAAACGTCTTCACATCATAGTTCACCGACTCGGTCCTGGAATGGTGTGGGTATATTCGCGTAGGTGTTCCTCTAAAGAAAAGAGACCACAGTACTTCACCATTAAACTTGCCACTATCCTGATTTTTATGCGTATGTTTCACAATAAAGAGAAGATCTTTGATGAACAAGAAAGACAAGGTATAACAGTGAAAACGACCCTGGCTCATGTGTTTGGGTAGTGAAATGTATTTTTCATTTAAAAGGCTGGCGGGTTTTAGGAGAACTTTGCCTCAGATTCTTAAACTCCAGTTTCAGATGCATGCTCTAGTTACAATCTTTGCAACTCTGCTTCCTCAGCTGTGAAATAAGAAGGTTCGACTAGATCAGCGGTTTTCAATTTGTGGCTAATTTTGAGGGTCTCAATTAACATTTTTGAAAACAAAATAGAGTAAGGAGTTTACCATATGCTGTGGTCAGAAAGTTTTCCAAGCATTAGATTAGGTAATCTTTAAGCTTTCGTCACCACTAGAATTATGAGGATCTACCCAATCTGTAAAACCAAGCGAGAAACTAAATGGGCCGTGAGCATCTGCTCGTACCTGGTCTTCAGCAGCAGATAGACCAGTAGAAATCACATTTCCTTCTCACCTTCGCTTTAACATTCAGAAAAGTAACGTACAGTTACCGGTAAGTTACCCTAGCTCTCATCATGAAGACCCGAGAAGGAGATGCACGTACGGGGTGGTAGAGAGCTTTGTCCACTGGCGGAGTATTACAACAACCCTTTCGATGATCACCAGACAGTAAGAAAAAATTTAAAAACACATTAAAGTACGGTTTTAATTGTGTCATTTCCTAAGGGAGTGTAAAACACTAAAAAGATCAGAACTTTGAAGAGCTCTTTCCAAAATGCAAAAGTCAAGGATACCGTGTATTCTTTAAAACTCATTTCTCCTTTAAAGTAGTGCAAAATTTTATAGATAAATTTTATTGTAAGTTCTGGACCCAATATTATCGTTTTCCTGCAGGGGAAAATTCGTTTTTGATAGAAGAATCCAGAGGAAACTACTGATAACAGAAACATGTTGCCTTCTTCTAAAGTTCTAAATTATGGGCGGGGCGCGGTACTGTGGACCAGTGAGGCAGACTGGTGCCCTGAACTTTTATTGGGTGACAAAACTATTCTTCTCTCACTGCTTATGGAAAGTCTCTTCCCTATGAAAGCAACAACGAGTTAACTTCTGCAGCTAAAAGCCCTTCTTAATTACCAATCGGCAGATATGAACGGCACTTAGCATGTTAGATATTATACAATGATTTCCAGGGTTGAAGGCCCTCATTCCCACTTTACATCTGCGTCGTGGCACTTCACACTGCCGTCTGTGGCATCAGTGAAGCAGGCTCAGGTCGGATATTATTTTCGCCATTTGGCAGATGGAGAGTCATGCCTAAGGGACACCATGTCACAGGGGTAGTAAGAGGGAGGCAGGTAATCTCTGATTCAAATCCAGTTCATTCTTCCCCTCTACGCAAACATAACCGCATGAAAAGTGCAAAGCGAAGACTCAAGGGCTGAAATAACCGCAAGGGTGGCCGAAGTCTATTTCCTCAACACTTTCGGCATTCTTCTCGCCGTCTCCTGTTCCGGGGGCTTCCGCAGACAATGCCCAGTGGGCCCACCAAGGCTCGTGAGCCCGTGATCCCCAGACCCACCCCGGGACGATCACTTACCTCGAGCTCAGAGAGCTACGCCGGCCGACCGGTGAGAAGAGCACTGGGGAGCTGAGCGCAGACCCCAGGGGCAGGCCCTTCCTGCCTGACGCCCGGGGCGTGGAGCCCGGACCGACTCCGCCCAGTGGGCCTCTTCGGCCCCCGGGCCCTGGCGTTCGCGGAGAAGAGACGGCCGGGAACATGACGGAAGGGAGAGGAGACAGAGAGCGCGCGCGCTCCAGCCGTGAGGACACAGCTCGGCCCGCGCGGAGCTTGAACACACAGGAAGCTGGAGGCGCGCCGTGATGACGTCAAAGCGCAGCGCCGCAGGGTGTGGCCAGGACAGTGGGATGGGAGGAGGCGCGCTGTGATGACGTCAGAGCGCAGCGCCGCGGGGCGTGCCCAGGGCGGTGGGGATGGGAGGAGGCGCGCCGTGATGACGTCAAGCGCAGTGCGCAGCCGCGGGGCGTCGTGGGGTGTCGGCACCGCCCAGAGCCGCCGGGGTTCGGCCTTTACCCGGAAGTGAAGAGGCAACGCCGTTTCCCGCGTGGGCCCGAGGGCTGGGGCCCGTATTACTGCGGCTGCCGCGCTGAGCCTCTGCGCGCCGCTCCGCCCTGCACCCCTGGGAAATGTAGTGACCGCTCCCTGGCCCAGGATGAGACGGGAGGGAAACTATCTGACGCCGGTTTCACGCTCAGTGCTCCCTCTGTTCTTCCCTGGGCTTGTCGTTTTCCCATTCGCCGCCGCACAGGTTCGTCCACGCTGGAGACCACCGCTCCGTATCTCTAACCCAGATCTTACTCAAAGCCCGCGGGCTCCGAACCGCGCCTTCGCGGACACGTCCCCGGGATGACCTGCGGGCCCCTCAACCCACTCGTTAAGAGCAGGATTCGTGTTTCCCTTTAGGACCGCTCCTCCCGCCACCTCCCCGGTCTGTAAACTGGCCTGAGGCTGAGAGGAGAGCTCTGGGGATCAGCCCTGACGCTCACCTCCCCGGACTGTGCTGGCGCCTTGCAGCCCTCAGGCCCTCCAGCTGTCCTCGCGTTTGTACTGTCCGCCCTGCACTCAGCTTTCCCCTCTTTTTAAGCCGTCAGCCTCTTTTGTTGGTCTCATTGTCTCTGTCGAGTAGCCTGTTAAGGCCCCCTCGCTGCCAGCACGGTGAGTCAAGGCAAAGCTGGAGCGGCTCTTGAGCGCGTAACCTCTCTGGTGGCTTTGTGCTGGCTGGAAGATTACTGCTTGGTTATCACCCATGGGAACATCACATTCTAACAATGAGCCTTCTGCTGCTGTACCCCCGCTTGCATGACCGGCTTGTGGGTTGACAGTAAATAGAAGAAAAATAGACTTTCGTGTTCAGACAGAATGAGGAATGGGGTTTAGGGCTTAAAAACCCTGTACCTCTACATTTCGGGGCTGCTTAATTTGGGGTCTGCGTACCCCTGACAGGCCCAGCTGGCTGAATAAAGAGTGTGTTTCCTATAACTCACTGGTTTCTGGTGGTCTGTGTGTCTGGCGGCTACAACCGCTTAATCCCAGCCCGCGGTGATTCCGTAAGCACCTTTGCAAGGTCCTTTGTGATTTAACTCTGCCTGGCTCTTCTGCCCCCACCTTCCACTGCTTCCCACTTGCC